AAAAAAAAAAAAAAGAAAGAAAAAATAAAAAACTCATCTCTACAAAAAATAGAAAAATAACCCAGGTATGATGGCACATGGCTATAGTCCAAGCTACTTGGGAGAATGAGGCAGGAGGAACTCCCAAGTCCAGGAGCTTCAGGTTGCAATGGGCTATGATGATGCCACTGCACTCCTGTCTAGGCGACAGAATGAGACTCTACCCCCCAAATAAAAAAATTATTACAGTAGTATAATATGTACTATAGTTAATTTTATGCAGTTACAATTTAGTACTACATCTTTATGTTTACATTTTTCTCAACTGCAATGATGCCATGTGTATATGGTCTGCCTATGTTTGTGTGCATAAGTTTTAATAAATTTTAACTTTTTATAATACATTTATGTATATTTTATGGCAATAATGTTACAAATACCTTATGAATTCATGATATACCTAACTTTTTAATTTTGGGAGGGAGGGGAAGATAAGAGTCTCACTCAGTAGCCCTGGGTTGAGTGTTGTGGTATCATAGCTCACCACAACTTCAAACTCTTGTGCTCAAGAGATCCTCTTGCCTCAGCCTCCTGAGTAGCTAGGACTTACAGGCACCCACTACAACACCCAGCTAATTTTCATCTTTTTAGTAGAGATAGGGTCTTGCTCTTGCTCAGGCTGGTCTTGAACTTGTGAGCTCAAGCAATCTACCTACCTCAGCCTCCCAGAGCACTGGGCCTTTTTTTTTTTTTTTTTTTAAATATTTCTATACTATAGTCATCTGCAAATTTTTCAAATTGCTGCAAATCTCTAAAACATTTTCCAACATATTCACTGAAAAAAATCCACATCTAAGTGGACCCTCACAGGTGAAACCCAGTTTGTTCTAGGGTCAACTGTATATACTTCCTATAAAAACCACACAAAATAGTCAGGGAAAAACAGTAGTTTTGCAGGTCTCATTCATGTATGTGTCAAGCACAGGAACTAAAAATCTAAGTTCTTCCTTTCTTAATTTCTAAAGTCCATGTCCCAACATGTTAGAAAGATCCAACTTAAACTTTAACCGTTGTCTTATTTCCTTTTTTTTTGAACCAAGTACAGTGGTGTTATCATAACTCATTGCAACCTCAGACCAGGCCATGGGCATCCTGCTACCTCAGCCTCCTGAGTCACTGGGATAACAGGCGTTCCCTGTGGTGCCCAGGGGAGTTTATTTTTTTTGTTGAGTCCAAGTCTCACTCTTGCTCAGACAAGTCTCAAACTCCTGAGTTCAAGTAATCCTCCTGCCTCAGCCTCCCACAGTGGTGGGATTACAGGCGTGAGCCACTGCACCCAGCCATCTCAAACTTCAGAATCCCAAAGGGGAAAGAGAATCTGACTTAAAAAAATACAAACAAACTCCAAAAACTAAAAGCACTAGTCTCCAAAGGAATCACCCACAAAAAGGATACGAAAAAGAGATACTAATTACTCAAGAGAAGTGCAGATTTGAGTCTCTCAAGTTACTCTTACATTATCACTTAAAAAGACAAATGTTCCTTTGCAAACTGGCAACTGAAAGCCTCATGAGTCTTCTTTTAAAAATTCCACTCATTAAAGAAAGAAAAGTCCCTTTGAATAAAAAGTAATTGGAGAACCATCTGAAAAAGCTCTCATTCCTGGCATTTTACCTATCAGGAACCTCAAGGTCAAGCATTTATTCATCATTCCCATGGCCTAGTCATTCTAATAGGTTTAACAAAATACTTTGTTATGAAATACTTTGTGTTTTGAATTTTGCTTTAGGAAAAAAAATAGGTAGTAGTACACAGTTATTTAATTCATTCTCAGGCCTTTAGACTGAAGTTCCTTCCTTTTCATTCATCTCTGTGGTAGAGACAAGGACAGAAGAAACCATGGACAAAGCTATGGTGATTTAAACAGCCACTTCCTGCCTTCCTGCTTCCAGCTACTTTGTGCCATCTTCCATAAGAGAAGCAGATGCAAATAAATCCAACACAATACAAGCTGAGACACTCGGCGCCTGTGGCTCAAGCGGCTAAGGCGCCAGCCACATACACCTAAGGTGGCAGGTTCGAATCCAGCCCAGGCCGGCCAAACAACAATAATGGCTGCAACCAAAAAATAGCCGGGCGTTGTGGCAGGCGACTTGCTTGAGCCCAGGAGTTGGAGGTTGCTGAAGCCATGGCACTCTACCCCGGGGGACAGCTTGAGGCTCTGTCTCCAAAAAAAAAATACAGGCTGAGACTGAGGAAGACACCATGGGGGTTTGAGAAAAGTGTGACAGAAGCTCTTGTTTGAGATATAATGTGTAACAGAAATTCATTTAAGGCCAGTTAAGGTGGCTCACACCTGTAATCCTAGCACTCTGAGAGGCCAAGATGGGAGGACCCCTTGAGTTCAGGGATTGGATACCAGCCTGAGTAAGAGTGAAACCCCATCTCTACCAAAAATAGAAAAATTAGCTGAGGGCTGGGGTTGCAGCAGGTGCCTATAATCTCAGCTACTTGGGAGGCTAAGGCCGGAAGATCACTTGAACCCAGGAGTTTGAGGTTGCTGTGAGCTATAATGTCACAGCACTCTACCAAGGATGACAAAGTAAGACTCTTTCTCCAAAAACAAACACACACACACACACTCCATTGAGTCTAAGAGATCTTCTCCAACTCATAGTTTAATTTCTATGTATCCTTCCTACAAAAAGTCAGATAGCAAAGGTAGAGAAGAGCAAAGAGGAAGAAAAAAGCCTTTCTTAAAACACCAGCATCTCTTACCTCTGTAGTGCTCCATTCTAGTGTGGTGGGTGATACCCTGTGATCTGAAACTGAGGCTCAGGATATAACGAGGATCAGAACTGTCTCGTACCAAGAAAGAACCATCTGGTTTCCCTTTCAGCTTCATCTCTGCGTCTTCCCAATTCATTGGCCCCCAATACCAACCACACTACAAAGACAAGAAACAATCAAATAGTTATCAGAACAGAGAAATGTCAAAAAGTTTTTCTATCTATCTTATAGATAGATATCTATAAGTCTATCTTACCATGGAAGAATCCCCCATTCTCTGAAACATTTCAATGGCCGCTACCAGTGTCTCAACCATTACATTTTTAGTCCTCATTAAACTTTTTGTCTTCCAAAGTAACAGAAGAATAAGTATAGTCTATCTTACCATGGAAGAATCCCCCATTCTCTGAAACATTTCAATGGCCGCTACCAGTGTCTCAACCATTACATTTTTAGTCCTCATTATACTTTTTGTCTTCCAAAGTAACAGAAGAATAAGTCTATAATTCTATAACTAAGGGCCCTATCCAGAAAGAACAGGGAATGGGGTCAGTTAATCTATCAAAATCAGCTTAGTTTCTCTACAACCTTCCTTTATCATATCTAAAGCTTTTTTCCTAAATTAAATTTCATTCTATTTTTTATGGAATTCATAACAGCAGCATACTATTCTGTCACTATAAATACGACGGCAAGCAAACCGTTATTCCTCTAAAAACAATAAAGGAGAGCCTAAGTACAGAATTTGGCCAGTGGGAAGAGAGGTGAGCTGCCATTCCTCAAGCACCACCACCTACCTTCTCCAACTCTCGAAGGCTGGCTGCAAAGCTGCTTGAGTCAGGCCGGTAGAGGGGACACTGGAGGTGCTGGGGAGGTTGGCTGTGTAGGGATTCAGCTGCTCGGATGGGAACAATCCGGGGAAATGCATCTGCAGGGCAAGACAGTGATCACTTGTTTGGCCACATTGCTCCCAACTACAAGTAAACCCTCCCCCCAAAACAGATGCTAACTGAAGAGGGGCAAGGCATTAGAAGCTAAGCTGGAAAGGGTGGAAGCCAAAGCAGTGGGAGAGAGCTGATGGGCTAGAACAAAAAGCTGTGTGGGCTGGTGTAAGCTGTGAAGGATGGGTGGGGGCACTTAACCCCAGGAAAAGGTAGGAGAGCTGCTCACTAACCTGACTAAGGTGACTACTTCAGGGCCTTCACCAGCCTAGAGCGATTCCAACTTCTCCCACCTCGAAGTGAAGTGCCGATAAAGCAGCCTTGGAAATAGTGACTCTCTTACTTGCCCAGGAAGAGTAACGATTTTGCCAGGCAAGCAGAAAGAATGCTGATTTCATTCATTTTATTCCTTGGGTACTGGAAGCTGGCAAAGCAGGTATGGGCTACTAAATGCTTGGTACTTATTTACAAGGCTGCAGTAAATACTAAAAGCTTAGAAAAACCACAGAACCTTAAAAAACAGCAACATATTAAGCCTCTTCACTATGCTGAAATTAAAGCAGTTTCTTAAGTGATATCTACTCAAGGACTGCAAAACAGTCTTAGCAGCAAAGAGATAAAAAACTCAATGTCTTTTATCCCTAACAAAAGTCAGATTCACTTCCATAAATAAAATGGGTTAGAAAAGCCAGTTCTCAGCCTCATTTCTAAGGAGTTTGGTCCAGCCAAGGAGAAAAAAATTAAGCTTTCTCTTAAATTGTTATTTCCATAAATAGATTTCTCCCATCTATCCATGATACAGGTACAAAGTACCACTGTGTACTCCCAACTCTTACAAGTCTTGCCTCTAAACTAAGCTAACCTGGGGCATGGGGTGGAGGAGGCGGAGGTAGGGGGAAAGACTGCAAGGAAGACCCCATCGGAGCCACAAGGACAGATGAATGCAGCGTCCCACTGATATCATCTAGAAGAGAGAACAAAAGCAAGATGTTCAGAAATATGAGTGCAGAATGAGCAAAGTGAAGGCAGAGGAGAGGGAGAAGGATTATCAGGCTGCCCTGTGGAGCAAGATGGCCTGATCTTCACCCCAGCTTTTTACAGAGGGCAACAATCATCTTAATCTGGGTTGCTTTGCTTAGACATCAGAAGAGTAAGGATATTCCTAAAGCAGCGCAATGACAGTAGATTCAGGGCAAGATAAATATAAAACTAATTAATATATGGGCAGTAAATATTATAGCATGCTGGTGAGAGACCCATTTAACTGCTCAGATTTGATAGGGGTGCTAAGAAAAGGATAAAATAATTGAGTCATCATTAGAAACCCAGAAGGAACAAGTCCCTGGAGATCACCCTCCCACCAAGGCAAGAAGGCAGACAGAAGAACAGACTATACCTAGAAGGCTGAGGCTTCTTCTCGGAGGAGGAGGGGGAGTTGGAGGGTGTGGAGAGGTCAGGCCCCGCTGAGAAATGTCCACGTCCACAAGTGACACTGTTTCACCTAAAGGATTTACAGAGAAAGTGTGTTAAAGAAGGGCCCTAACCAAAGCTGAGCCAAAAATGAAGGAAGCAAAGGGCGAGCAAAAAAGGCTGGAGGTTCACGGCTCTCAAAAAGCTCAAAATTGAACGCCTTCCAGGGCTAAAATCACCCCTAAATACTGGGGAAATCAATTTTTAAACTCTATCATGGCCAGGTGCAGTGGTTCATGCCCGGAATCCTAGCGTTTGGGAGCCCGAGACAGGTGGATTGCCTGAGCTCACAGGTTCGAGACCAGCCTGAGCAAGAGTGAGACCCCATCTCAAAAAAAACAACTGGGCATTGTGGTGGGTGCCTATAGTCCCAGCTAAGCTACTTGGGAGGCTGAGGCAAGAGAATCACTTAAGCCCAAGAGTTTGAGGTAGCTATGAGCTGTGACGCCATGGCACTCTACACAAGGCAACAAAGTGAGACTTTGTTTAAAATAAATAAATAAATAAAAAATAAAATTCTATCATGCCTTTGCCCTGTTGAGGGTCAAGAACTGTTTAGAACAAAAACATGGAATTGACACTAGAAAAATCACCTAATTCTGGTTCTGCCACTGATTTACAATCTAACAATGAACAATGGGTCTTTGCTATCAAATGGAACCCACACTGTTTTATCTCTTTAGACTTGTATACCAATTTCTACCTTAGGAAGTAAGGCAAGTAACAGACATGGAAAGCAAGTGCCAGAAAAATGTAAGAATACAAGGTTAGCTGAATCTAGATAAAGCTTCCAACATTAGCCCCAACCTCTTCCTAGATGGCTTTCCACATCTAGATTTTTCAGAGTACTCATCCATAAAACAATCTACCATTGAAGATATCACTTCTTAATAGCTAACGTTACAAAGGCTAAAAGTGCATTTATAACCCTAAAAAGCAACAATTTTCAGTCAGCCAAAAGTCAAGTAATCTTAGAGGAAGCCTCTCAATAGGAACTTGGTGCAATATAGCAAATGGTTTCTGTTACTTTCCAGCATGTCATGAAGCTCTGTTCTCTGCCATATACACTACCATTTGCCACCTTTCCCCTCAAGTCATTGGAGGATGGAAGGTATTTTAAAAACACAGGTTGATAGGTGGGAATAGGTTTACTTTTACATGTCTGATCCATATATCAGAACTCAGGATTTCTCAAATTTAGCTCTTTGGCACCTGTGGCTCAGTGGATAGGGCGTTGGCCCCATATACCACGAGCAGTGGGTTCAAATCTGGCCCCAGCCAAACTGCAAAAACAAAAAAAAAGCTGGGTGTTGTGGCGGGCACCTATAGTTCCAGCTCCTTGGGAGGCTGAGGCAAGAGAATCGCCTAAGCCCAGGAATTGGAGGTTACGGTGAGCTGTAACACCACAGCACTCTACCAGGGCCATAAAGTGAGACTCTGTCTCAGAAAAAAGAAAAAAAATCAAATTTAGCTTTTATCCAGGGCTGAATTAGCCCCTCAGCTATTTTAATGCTTCCCAGTCAAAAACAAAAAACAAAAAAACAAAAAAACATTTTCTCCCATGTATTTAGGTTTTTCAAAACCTTAAAATACACAGGTTTTTACAAAGGTCTTGAACACTAATTGAGATAAACAGAAAAGCTCCTCTAAAAGTCACCTGGAGGCCAGGCATGGTGGCTTATACCTGTAATCCTAGTACTCTGGGAGGCCAAGGCCGGCAGATTGCCTGAGCTCACAAGTTCAAGACCAACCTAAGTCAGAGGGAGAGGTTGTCTCTTAAAAAAAAAAAAAAAAAAGCCAGGGGCTGTAGTGGGCACTGGTAGTCCCAGTTACTTCAGAGGCTGAGGAAAGAGAATCACTTAAGCCCAAGCGTTTGAGGTTGCTGTGAGCTGTGGCACTATGGCACTCTACCAAAGGCGACAAAGTAAGACTGTGTCTCAAACAAATAAACAAACCAAAAGTTATCTGGAAGTTCTAAGAAGCTAGTACCAAACTTAACACACACTAGAAGTCTGGCTGCCCAGAGCAATGCAACAGGCCCAGACAACTGGGTTTCCTGACAGGGCAGAGAGGTCTAGACTATAGGTATAGCACTTAAATAAAAGATGTAGTTCAGCTCGGCACCTGTGGCTCAAGCGGCTAAGGCGCCAGCCACATACACCCAAGGTGGCGGGTTCAAATCCCCAGCCCGCGCCCGTCAAACAACAATGATGGCTGCAACCAAAAAATGGCCAGGCGTTGTGGCGGGCACCTATAGTCCCAGCTACTTGGGAGGCTGAGGCAGGAGACTTGCTTGAGCCCAGGAGTTAGAGGTTGCTGTGAGCGTGATGCCAT